CATTTGTGAAAAATGTCGGAAAAAGGTCTTTCTATTAATCTTTGAGGTTCTACTTGCAACGTAAACCAAATTGGTTCTTTTCAATAAGCTATGTAGTGGAACTTCCTCAAATAACTGCTTTATTTAAAGTTTTACGAAGAAAACTGACAAAAGATGTTAACGTCGTTCATTATAAATACATTTTAATGTCATTATTATTTCATTATTATTTTATTATCTTTTTTTTAAATATTTTATTGTTACTTTTAATAATATCAAAAATATTTCCTATGTAGTTTGTATAATTTTCAAAAAGAATTTTATAAATGGAATGTCCATTTTTATAATAATCTGTTTTGAATTGTTCTAAATTCAGAGACTCTTTATATGTCATAACAGGTAATATATTTTCATAATATACATTTGTTTGTATTTTTCAATTTAAAAATTAGTTACATTGCTATTGAAATTATTTTTATTTAGTAAGTATTTCACTATAAGTAACTCATTAAGTAAGTCACTGTAAGTATTTCACGTTTAAATATCTTATAGATGCTCGTTTTTAAAATGTAAGAAAATAAAGATTTATGGAAGAATTTCATTCTAAAAGTACTCATGAATTAATTAAGAGTCCTGGTTTCTGAAGATGTTTTTAAGGGATTGATTTTTGTTATTTTTCCAACCGCTGTCTTCTGTTTCCCCGTTTTTTGAGTTTGTTTTTCCACGACAATCCTCTTAGATATAAGTCCTTGTTCTATCAGCGGACTCGATCGATCGGAGTTTATAGAATTCTAAAGTCAATCGAAGAAAAATGTTATTCTGTATAATTTTCCATTTTATAGGAAGCTGGCTTTGCTTTCAGACTAAATGGATTTTATGTTGATCTTTCTAGTTGCTTTTCCGATCGTGTTTACGATTCTGTACCTTGACTATTGTCTTCTCGAAGGAAGGAGAAATTAAACGAACGTGAATAACGTGTGTTTGATTGGAACACGATGTGAATCTAATTTAAATGAAATTCGTATGATTTTATGGGAGTGGCAGTATGAAACTTCTAAGTAATTCTGAATAATCTGTCCTGTGTAAATGGCAAATATTTTTCAGAAATTGTGAAGAAGGAAATCTCAGGAAAATAGAAATTTTTACAGTAATATCATGTAAATTATTCAATTTCTTATACAAGTTGAAAATAAAAATTTTCAGTAGACTGTAAAATTTTAATATTCGTGGATAATTCATTTTAGTATTTTTATTTGACTTCCATAAATTTTATCTTGGATCCGAAAGCATAGATTTTCTTGGTCTCATTTCATTTAAAATTATAACATTTGTGAATAAATTTATAATAATTAGGGTTTTAAGTTCATGTTCGTGTATGTTTTATTATAAGATAAAAACAGTACTTGGACTGAAATAATTTTTTATTCCATTACCGAAATTTCTTTTCCGATAGTACAAATTACTATAAAATAATATTTTACGCATAATTAATATTTAACGAAATTAATAGACAGATAATAAGGATAATAATTAAATAATAAACAATAAATCTTCCATTGTGATTTTGGAAATAGTTGTGTATAATATACAGATACATTTTGACTAATGTATGTAACACATTATTATCTAATTTAACTCCCTAAATTGTTTATAATATTCCAATTACATCTAATCTTTATAAACTAAAATAAATAAATTTATCTAACTTTCTCGACTTTCTATTATTTAAATCTTTTTTAGTAACATCAAAATTTATTCTTCTAAAATTAAACATCGATGAAATTATTTTTTTCTGATGAAAAACTGTTTT